CCATAATTTTGCCACTAAGCTGTGCCACGGGTGTCGACATATTAACCATAATGTTCTAGTAAAATTAATGATTCATCGTGTTATAGACACAGAGGACTATTAGCCATATTCTCCCTCCAGTAACCTTCCATAATAATTATTTATTCCAGCGACAGGCTGTCTTTCTTGCAACCTGTCCGTTTCCTCGCATTTCGTTCTTTCTCCTACAATAAAACTGCTTTACAATAATGTAGTATATTATGTAATAATGTGGATTACTGTAACTGATGCACACATCAATGCGCATGACAGCAACATCTCATACAGAGGCCTTACGGCACAAAACGATAGATCTACTATAGACGATGGTAATACGAACTAAACGCCGTCGATGGCTCCATCTTGAAGAAGGCTCGTGAGGGAGGAACTAAATTGACAGTTGTGGTCTTTCATCAAAACAAATCAATTGTGGCATTGTCTTTAAACAGGCCAAGTTTAGGCTGCATTTCGGGCAGTTAACAGTGGTGCAAGGACGAACTCAGTTTTAAAAATGTCACTCAGCCCACTCAGTCAAATCGTTCAAATTTCTTTAAATTTATCCTAAAGTTCAGTTATGAGTTTGTGAAGATGTATTATAGTTCGAATGATTTCTACGAAGTGTATACGAGGAAGTTCCTCAGGAAGTCTTCTCTGACATTGTTGCGATGAATATAGTAGTCTGACACCCATGATGAAGCATCAAACGACCGAGCAGGGTAAGCGAAGGAAGGCATATCTTCTAGTGTAAATCGTGTCTGGAAGAATCAGAGCGGCCGGTGAATGAAAACGACGAACAAAAGAATTACGGCTTCCGTCATTAAAGCAACCTCAATGATCTCTCATGAACTTTCCAATGTTCTCTGAACGAGGATGAATTTGTTCAGAGCAGCCAGTGAGTTCGAACTGCTAACCAATGTACAGACCAGTGACTGAAGCCGCTCCAAACAGAGGATCAACACAACCAACTGCTATAACCGTTACTTCTATCAGTTACGTATTAATTAGTCATATGCATTGGCATAAATGAATCTCCTTAACAAATAAGAAAAAGACCTGGTTGAATATTGAGAACAATCGATCGATCTATTGGGGAGAGGCAAGAACCCGGTCTCGTGCTAACTGTATGTGAGTTCAGTTCTAAGCCTTCGTTAACTTTTTTCATTAAGTGATAATTCCTGTGAGCAGGGATTCAATTAAATGTGTTTCAATTCAATCAGCAACTAAATAATAACGAGGGGATGGTGTTTTGATGTTGTCTTACCAAAGCTCACAAGACATAGCTGGTGAGCAGTGAGATGGCACTCTTCTGGGTCAGGTTGGAACTCCGGTGTGACGGTTTGATTCTGGCGAGGGTGTATTTTTGTCCGTGCCACAAATTCCTTTGAGCATGATATTTATGACATGTTCTTTCAGACAAGGGTTGCTTAGAATCGGAATCCAAACCTACAGATTCGGGTTCGAGTTCGAGTTCGGTTTCAGGTTACCCGACGTTCTTCCACTCGAGGTTGATGAATGAGTTCCGCCCTGAGGGATGAAAAGACGAAACTAAGCACCATGCTGATAACATAGCTGCTGATGACCATACCTTTACAATAAAGTACTCCGGGGTAATTGCATGGAGATGAAAATCAGCCCCCTCCACTAACTTCATGAAAAGAAGGACGTCAGAAATAGCCCCGTCACGAAGCGGTAAGAAAAACTGATATTTTGTTGCCTGCTTTCCACTTCCTTTTTTCACGAGGTACTGCCATTCCGTCTGATGTGCGCGCTTTACGGCTGCAATACACCTCGACCCACCAGATGATCGGCAAAATTTCCAGATGGTGCAATCCGTAAATTTCAGAACCCAAATGTCTTCGTGTTAACGGCACCCGTATGGTGTATGTACAGTGATGAAGACCTTGGTATTGAGTCAAAGATGATCTCTAGAACTGCAGTCTGGACATTCTTTGCATGGACATTCTTCTTCTACTTCAATTGAAACGCCTCAACACACATCGTCCAAGATCACTGGCGCAAATACTTTGTGTGAACGCCTTCCAGTCTAACGCAGTTATTGTTTTTCTATCTGACGACCTTCATCCAACAACTTGCTATTTTATTTAGAGTGATTTAGATTGTCCGTAGTTCAAATAAGGGTGAAAAATTCGATAACCTTTGCTAAGGTCGAATAGCCTGCGTATTCATCACTTGGAGCCTTTTGTTTGTGATCTACTAGGGCGCCTGTTGAAGCATCATTAATCCCTCATTAACGAAATGAAATTTCTCTGAATAACCTTTCTCCATAATCTGTGTGCATTATAAACCTTATTTGATGTGAAGACTTATCTTAATAAGAAAGGGATTTACTTAATCCATGCTGGCATTGATCTGCATACGCGAAAATTGTAATTGAGCGCCATGCGCCCAGCCTTCCGAAATGGAAAATCACTTGCAGAAAGTAGAAATTGGGAGCTGATGTCCTCATGCATGCTGTTCATATCGCTCAGAGTTTCGCCACGTGAACGTACCGCATAGTGGCTACTGCGGGAAACCCTTGGCGTTGTCAGCTCAAATGCTAGATGGAGGTCACGAGACTACTCCATAAAAACGAGTTTCATTCTCCTCTCAGCTAGCTGGCAACGTGCTACTCGATTTCGGTAAAGCATGTAGTTGCCTTTCTCTGGTTGGAGAAAAGCAAATGACAGCAATGCCGATAAATTTCTCTATATTATTCATCCAGCATTATTGGGGCATTCTTCTTGAGCGGCAAACCGGTCTTCATCTCTTCCATATTCCGAGGATACACGGCGTTATGAAAAAAATTTGATAACGTCGTCTTGGTAGATTATTATAGACTGTGGCCCTAAATTCTTCCTCCGGGCTTTCCAGTCGGATTGTCGCTTTCGCACATAGAATTGCTTTAAAC